AATATTGCTACCCCAGCATTTTTTTTTTCTTTTTTCCATTTTTATGAAATGCCTTTTTCCGTCTCATTACTTTCAGTCTTTGTGCATCTATCAATCTGTAGGGATTCTCTGTAAGCAGCATATGAAGGGTCTTGTTTTCTTATCCATTCAGCCACCTGGTGTCTTTTGATTGGAGCATGTAGTCCATTTACATTTAAAGTAATTTTTGGCCCAGCCGGGCGTGGCTCAGCGGTTGAGCGTCGACCTGGGATCCAGGCGATCGGGGTTCGATTCCGGGTCAGGGCACATGCCCGGGTTGCGGGCTTGATCAATGACTCTCTCATCATTGATGCTTCTTTCTCTCTCTCTCCCTCTCCTTTCCTCTCTCTGAAATCAATAAAAAGATATATTTAAAAAATAAATAAAGTAATTTTTAATAGATATGTAGTTATTGCCATGTTGTTATTAATTTTTTTTATTTCTTTTTATCTTCTTCTGCTTAAAGAAGCCCCTCTAACATTTATTGTAATACTGGTTTGGTGGTGATGAACTCCTTTAGCTTTTTCCTGTCTGGGAAGCTCAGGAAGCTTATCTGTCCTTTGATTCTAAGTGATAGCTTTGTTGAATCACATAATCTTGGTTGTAGGTCCTTGCTTTTCATCACTTTGAATATTCCATTCCAATTCCTTCTGACCTGTAAAGTATCTGTTGAGAAATCAGCTGACAGTCTTATGGGAACCCCTTTGTAGGTAACTACTTTTCTCTTTCTGTTTTTAAGATTCTCTCTTTGTCTGAGATTCTTTGGTGGGGGGCTCTTTGGGTTCATCTTTTCTGGGACTGCACTTCCTGGACTTGTATGTCTATTTCCGTCACCAGGTTAGGGAAGTTTTCCATCATTATTTGTTCAAATCGGTTTTCAAGTCTTTGCTCGCTCTTTTCTCTTTCTGGTACCCCTGTGATGCAAATGTTAGTACACTTGATGTCCCAGAGGCCCCTTAAACTAGCCTCATTTTTTTATTCTTCTTTATTTTTGCTGTTCTGATTGTGTGTTTTCTGCTACCTTGTCTTTCAAATTGCTGATTCAGTCCTTTGCTTCATTTACTCCACTGTTGATTCCTTGTAATGTATCTTCATTTCAGTTATCATATTCTTCATTTCTGACTGGTTCTTTTTTTGTTTTCTATATCCACTTTTATGTTTCCTATCTTTGTTGAAGTTCTCACTGAGACCATTGAGCATCCTTATAACCAATGTTGTGAACTCTGCATCTAGTAGATTGTTTGTCTCCATTTTGTTTAGTTCTTTTTCTGGAGTTTTGTTCTGTTCTTTCATTTGGGGCATGTTTCTTTGTCTCGTCTTTTTGGCTGCCTTCCTATGCTTTTTCTTCTATGTATTAGGTAGGGCTGCTTTGTCTCTCAATTTTGTAGAGTGGCCTTATGTAGTGAGTATCCTGTGGGGCCTATTGGAACAGTGTGCCTGGTCACCTGAGCCAGGTTGTCCAGGTGTATCCCTTGTGTTGGTTGATTGTGCCCTCCTGTTGTAGTTGGGCCTTGATTGTGGTTGGTACATCAATGGGAGGGATTGGCCCTCAGGCTGATTGGTTGTGAGGACTGATTGGCATTGACTACAGTGGAGGAGCTTTTGTGCAGAGGCTGACCCTATGGAGCAGGATTCGCTTTAGCAGGGCTCTGATGCCTGCTGAGTCTGTCCTTTGGTAATGTCGTTTGTGGAGGTGGTTGGTGGTGGTCTGGTATGGTCTGACGCTGGCCACCAGGTATGTTAAGGCCTCTTGGGAGGGGCTCTGGTGCAGGCCGAGATCTGTTGCTGCCTGTGCCCTACCTAAGGCCACTTGGCATGAGCTAGAATATGATCTACAGATGGTTGTCACTTGGCTGGGCTTAGAGGTGCCTGGGAGGAACTAAGCTGCAAATTGAGGCCGGCTGCCCCAGTGCTGGGCTTACAGCTGCTTAGCAAGAGGTATGGGGCACACCATAGCCAGATGCTGCTTGTTTGGGGTTTTTGAACCTTTGAGAAATTTTAGGAAAGTCCACAGCCTGAGCCAAGATAGGCCATTTATATGGAAAAGCCACTGGAAGCACCTTGGGTGGGCATGAAAGTTGGGCGGGAAATCACCAGCGTAGGGCAAACCATATTAGCTAGGTTGATGGAAACTCAGAAAGGGCAGGCTGGATCAGAGGGCTCAACAAAAGAACAGTGGCTTCTGCCAGCACTTCTGTTTGGGAGAGAGCTTCCCCTCCAGCCCTTGCCCTGAAGCCAGACAATTCAGTTCCTCGCCCTTAGTCCCTGGTGCCTTTGGAGCTGCTTTCCCAGTGCTGGAGCTCAGAGCAAGTGAGTCCAAGTAAGTCCATGTGCAGGCCCTTTAAGAGGAATGTCTGAGTCTCCAGCAGCCTCTGTCTCTCAGCCACAATTCCCGCTGGTTTTAATCCAGAAATTATGGAGACTATTCCTGGCACTGGAACCCTGGGCTGGGGAGCCTGGTATGGGGCTGGGACCCCTTGGCCCCTCAGTGAGCGACCTCTACAGGTGATATCCCATCCAATTTTTTTTTTTTTTAAATATATGTCTTTATTGATTTCAGAGAGAGGAAGGGAGAAGGAGAGAGAGAGACAGAAACATCAATAATGAGAGAGTCATTGACTGGTTGCCTCCTGTATGCCCCCTACTGGGGATCAAGCCCACAACCCCGGCATGTGCCCTGACTGGGAATCGAACCTCAGTCTCCAGGATCATAGGTCGATGCTCAATCCTTGAGCCACACCAGCCGGGCCCTCCTTATTTTTAACTGCCACATGTGGATGTGGACAAGCCTGTTCTGTGCCTCTACTCCTTCCAATCTTGATTTGACGACTTCTGTATATCCTTAGTTACAGGACTTCTGTTCATCTAGACTTCGGGTGGTTCTCAATGGTGGTGGTTCTATAGTTTAGTTGTAATTTTGATGTGGTCGTGGGTGGAGGTGAGCACAGTGTTTACCCACACTGCCATCTTGACCAGAAGCCTTTTGTGTACTTTTTGTACATAATGGCTCCTGATCATTTTATTACTCTTAACCTCCCACTTTATTATATAAGTAGGTGCAAACATCTGACTTCATTAGGTTTTCTACTCTAGTTATACCTGAGCATTTACATATTGAATACAGATTATTTTTATCATAAATTACCTTTTTATCTTTTATCTATTATTGTTAGGGCGTTATATTAATTTGGGTGAAGGAATTATATGTACTTGTAAGTTATATTGGCTATGAAATCCATTTAGGATACAAATGGGATATTGCAGAGCATTTACCATGGACAGGGAGAATTGAGAAGTACTGCTTTAGAGAGGAAGCTGAGGAAGTTGTCAGAGAATTGCTACTTAACAATTTGTAGAAAGATAGAAGGTGGTAATGGATGGCCGCCCAGGGGGCAGGTCTTTGATACGGGGTGAGGAGCCTAAAAATAGCATTAAAGCAAGGAAAGCACAGTCCCCAACTCCAGCTTGTCATTGCTCATGCTTTTCCCTCCACCCAGAATGCCCACCTTACTCTTCTCTGTCCACCTATATGTTCTTCATTGTCTGGTGTGAAACCTTTTGAGAGCTCGCAAGAGGACGTAGGCAAGAGCATGAACACTTGAATACCTGGATTCTGTGCTAGGCACTACACATAAGTTTTCATTTTTCCCTTCCAGAAAGGGAACATATTACTTCTAGAATTAGAAGAAGTCTGATCAGGCTCAAAGACTAACTTTTCCAGTGTCTTAGTCCATTACAGCTTCTATCACAAAATACCACAGATTTATTTCTCAGTCTGGAAATCAGGATGCCAGCATGGTGGGTGACCCTCTTCCAGGTCACAAACGTCGCATTGTGTCATCATGGATGAAGGGGCTAGGGAGCTCTGTGAGATCTCTTTTATAAGAGCACTGATCCCATTCATGAGGGCTCCACCCTCATGACCTAATTACCTCCTAAAACCCAACCTTCCGGCACCATCACATTGAGCATTAGGATTCCAACATGCGAATTTGAGAGGTAACACACACATTCAGATCATAACATCCAGTATCACCAGGTGAGGAAGTGATGGCAGTGGGAATCTAACTAGGGGCAGTCTGGCTCTGCAGCTTGCATTCTGCCCAGTGCAAGACACAATCATTAAATAGATCCTCACGACAGAGTTGTGAGAAGCTGGCCATTTGGGGCTTGTGCCCTTCTAACTTGGTTTGACTCAGATTTGAAGCTGCTCTTTGTTTTTGGCCCCAGTCCCTTTCTTAATCATTTTGTTACTCTCTTAACCCAGTTTCTTTCTTTGAAAACAGAGTTCACTTTATCATCTTTGATTCTCCACAGCATTTACTATATTATATGCCTTATTCATTTTAGGTGTTCAGTATGTAGTCACTGATTGATTTAAATATGTAAGCTCTATGCAATTCTCAAATGTTTAAGGACCAACTGAAAATACACAGTGTAGGAGATCTTTACTAATGTAAATGCGGCTGGTAGTTTCGCAAATTTAAAATGCATCATTAGATTTTCATCTAAAATAAAATTAAGGTTCAAAGATTTATTTAATTAGATCTAAAAACATTTAAAATTGAAATTATCACTATCCAGATGGCAGGTAGTGATTTGAAAAATTTGTTTTTTTAGGTGAATATATTTTTTAGGCTCTTCTGGATACCATTACTGGGTAATGTACTCAGATACTCTTGAATATGTTTTGTTTAAAACATAAATGGGGGACATCTGTAATACTTTCATCAATAAAATAAAATTTAAAAAAACATTTCTAATCTTTTTAATGGAAAGGTGGGGATTATCATTTTAAAAGTAAAAAAAAGCAACAAAACAACTAGCTTTTTCTTATGTACAACTCAACTAGAGATAATCTTTTTATTTGGGATGCATGTGAAGTTGGATGCATGTTCTGTGGCCTATGGATTTGTGTCAGTTATAGAAATGTTTATATGATATTCTGTTTAGTAATGAATTTATATTATTCTGTTTTTCAGGTCCTGTAGGTGTAGGTTTGAATGAGCTGAAACGAAGGCTGCTGATCAGTGACACACAGCACTATGGTGTGACAGTGCCCCGTAAGTTCTGTCCTGTTCAATGCTACTAGGACTGCTCTGATAACGACTGATCAATGCCTACATAGCATGTGTGGCACCGAACAGTCTTCTGAGTATTCCCCATCTAGACTCACAGCAGCCCTATGAAGTATGCAGTAGTAATATCCACATTTGAAGTAGGAGGAAACTGAGTCATTAGATAACAGTTGAGGGATTTGCCCAGATTTACACAGATCATTGGCCTGAATGTTTGTTAATTATAGCTTTCTTGCTCTCAATTTTTATGGTCAGTGTTAATACACATATGACATTAAATTATTATTTACAAATTTTCTTTAAATAGAAGTCTAGCTATTCTATTTCCTAAAATAAGTGCTAATGTTTTCCAGAGTTTTCCCCCAGCTTTAAGATTAGAAGGACCAAACCACACAGAGCTGAAGGCTTCTTATAATATAAACCTTCTTAATTACTTTTTATATGTAGTAATTGGCAGATAGTGTTAAATGGGCCTTTCATAGCCATATAATCCAAATATGGTAGGCTTCTTTTCAGTACACAGAATTAGATCTGTTTTTATGAAAGTGGTTTTCACAGGCATTCTTGCAAATAAAATGTGATTTTGGAAGCATTTTGATCTTCAGAATAAATGCCATTTGACTACTTAATATGTTGATGTTAGAAAGTCGTCTAAAAGACTAAATTGAAATGTTGGCTTTCTTCAAGTGGTTTTAGTACTATTTTTTTAAGTCATTTGTATATAGCCCTTAGCAATGTTCTCTAGTTTTGGAAGAGTTCGACTTTATTTTAAAATTATAGTTTTCTATTACCTCAAGTTATTCCTTGTTACTACATTTTTCCAAATTATTGTTTGTAATCATTTTCAGCCATAAGTTATAGGACTGACAGTTTCCATCAACAGAGATGAAAGTAAAGGAAAATGTGGAATTAAATAGTTTCTTTCTTTTTTTTTTTTTTTTTACTTTAATTATTCACTTCTCTTAAAAAAGCTGAGTTGCAATATACAGTTAATTAGAAAATTTTATAAACATTCCCTTAGTTAAGCTTATAGGTGAGCAATTACACAAGAGGATGGAAAACCATCTTACAAAGGAAAATAATGACTATTAATTTCCTGCTGTGTATTCATCTCTTTTATTTGTCTTAATTTATTTCATGCTCCCAACGAAGGTAAAGATAGGTGATATCTCCATTTTTACAGAGAAGAAAACAGGGTAGAAAGGATACTTTGACTTACTCAGAGTTCCATAGGCATTAGTTGAATTTGATACTAGGTTTTATGTAACCACTTTTCATGTTCTACCTCTTATATAACACTATGCAGTCCTTTCAAACTACAGATTCTCTTTTTTTGTAGCGCAGTTAGTATGGAAAACTGGTTTCTTTTGAAGATTAGAAATATCAATAATGCTGTCTATCAAACATAACCCTCTCTGATAGTTTTGGTCTCTTGATTACCCAAGGACCTAGCACAAGACACTTTGACCTCAGTTTATCCAACTATTAAAATAATATTTGCCTCTAAAGTTGTTCTACAATTTGACAACATCCAGGAAATTTCTAGAGCTTGAACTTTCCAAAGAAATCCCCAAAGTAGTAATTTTCCACTCTGATTCACTTTTAAACAGTTATTGTGAAAGAGTCCCCTATAGCAGTGTTTTCCAGACTTACCTGATATTGAGAATCTCTTAAGGGCTCTTATGAAAAGATTCCAAGGGCTTTCCAAAGAGATTCTCCTCAGGAAATCGGACAGGTTGTCTGAAAATCTTCATTTACAACAACCATCCCAGGAGATTCATAATATCAGACATGTTTGGAAAATACAGCTGTACCACCAACTCAGGGTGATTTAATTAATCAAGATATTTTAAGAGTGATTTTGGAATTTTAGATTGTTTTACTTTATAAAATACTTTAGATAGAATCTTGATTATTTGGAGAAAACTAATTGCTTTAGTTATCCCACCATTATTCCATTTGATGTTTACCTCTGTAATTCTCCTTTCCAAAACATGTATTTAATACCCACCAGAATGAGTAAACTGAAAAATTTTGGAGCAGTGAAACTCACACACATTGCTCTTGGGAGTGTGAATGAATTCAACCACGTTGGAAAACTAAGTGGCCATATCTGTTTATTAAAGCTGAGCAAACACGTACTTGTTACCCAGCAATTCCACTCCTAGTTCACACCCAACAGAAATGCATATGACACATACTTGGATACTCTTAGAAACACTATTCATAAAAGCTCAAAACTAGAAACTACCCAAATGCCCACCAGTAGTGGATTGGTTAAGTAAGTGATGGTAATTCACACCATGGGTTACTGTAATACAGGAAGAATTTACAGTCTGCTACTACATGCAGTAATATGTATGAATCCCACCAACATCATACTAAAAGAAAGCAGCAACAAAAGAGACTATGCAGTATGGCCCCATTTTATAAAAACAGTAAAAGCAATGCCCCTATGGGCTGTTAGAAATCTTGAGGGGCTAGACAGGAAGGTAGGTGATTCTGGAGTTCCAGCAAATCTGCTTCTTGTTAGTGTGTGGTTACGTGGGCATATTAGATCTGAAAATTCATCAAAGCTTGCATATGAGCTTTTCTGTCATAGTTCAGGTTTTTTAATGTTAAATAGAAATTCTTGGTACTTTAGTCCATTGTAGTTTGCTGATGTTGATTTCCTGGTCCTGAAGCCCAGAACAGTAATGAAAGACTGACACCTTCCTCCACTGGAGGAAGCCGAGTGATGGTTACACAGGACCTTTCTGTGCCACTTTTGCAATTTTTTGTGAATCTATAATTATTCCGGTTTCCAAAAACTATTTAAAAGGGTGCTAAATCAGGTAAATGCTATTATTCTTGGGCAAAATGGCTGAACAAATTATATGATCTTTTAAAATTGTCCATAAAGCCATATTAAACATTCACAGTTGCTTTTAAAGAAAGTGATGGCCAAGCCTCTGCTTGCTTCTCTGTGGGAAATTTCATCCTTGATAAGCTACATCAATATTGTTTTAAGGCTAGAAATTATCAACAAATCTGAATGACCATTAATATAACCAGTCTTTCAAAAGAAAATTAAAGTAGTTAACAAATAAGTTTTGCAGTAAATATCAAGTACTTGATGGATTCTAATATCTTGATAGTTTAGACTTGGGCACTGTCAGTCAACCACACTTGTTAATCACTTCCTGTGGTTTTACAGGAAGGCATGTATCGCAGTTAAGTGTTATTGTAGGTTCAAAGTACTCATGTTCTAGAATGCTTCTTTGTCCATAGGATACCTCAGTTGAGATTTCTAAAAAATATATATTGTGAAATAAGGTACCAGTTTAAAAAATATTTTTATTTTTAGCTCATAGTGGCAATTATTCTGGGGTTTTATTGGAGGTAGAGGAAGAGTGTGGAGTTTGTCTCATTTGTTTCATGTTTATCTTAAACTGTAAACACAGTAGATACTCAGACAGTGAACTCTGGTGAGGTAGCAGCCTGCACTGTGGTTACTATGCCCATCTTGACCTTTGAAGTCCTTTCTCATAAGAATCTTCAGATCCTTTATTCAGAATTCCTCACTATTGATGGGTTTATGAGAATCATTTTTTTTTAATCCTCATTCGAGGATATGTTTATTGATTTTTAGAGAAAGGGGGAGAGGGAGAGAGAGTAACAAAGATGTGAGAGAAATATTGATAGTTGTCTCCTATAATGCACCCTCACTAGGAATTGAACCCCCAACCTAGGTATATACCCTGACCAGGAATCAAACCTGCAACCCTTTGGTGCACAGGACGACCCTCCAATCAGTGAAATTGCATCACCGCTGGCTAATTTTGGTTGATGGTGATAAGCAACGAATTTGGTTGTAGACATGTTACCTTTATCTTTTTATTTTTTTCACATTTTAAAATTTTTTTATTGTTGACACTATTGCAGGTGTCCCCATTTCCCCCCTTAGCTCCCTTGCACCCAGCCCCCAGCCCCCCCTTCCCTCTAGCCACCACCACACTGTTGTCTGTGTCCATGGGTTATGTATATATGTTGTTTGGCTAATCCCATCACCTTCTTTCATTCAGTCCCTCATCCCCCCTTCCCTCTGACAGCTGTCATTCTGTTCCATACCTCTGGTTCTATTTTGTTCGTCAGTTTATTTCATTCATTAGATTCCACATGTAAGTGAGATTTGTCTTTCTCTGACTGGCTTATTTCGCTTAGCATAATAGTCTCCATGTTTATCCATGCTATTAAAATGGGTAAGAGATCCTTCTTTTTTATAGCCACATAGTATTCTATTATGTAAATGTACCACAGCTTTTTTTCCACTTATCTACTGATGGGTACTTGGGCTATTTCCAAATCTTAGCTATTGTAAATTGTGCTGCTATGAACATAGGGGTGCATGTATTCTTTCTGATTGGTTCAGGATTCTTAGGATATATTCCCAGCAGTAGTATCAGTGGGTCAGATGGCAGCTCCATATTTAATTTTTTGAGGAACCTCCATACTGTTTTCCACAGTGGCTGCACCAGTCTGCATTCCCACCAGTACACTAGGGTTCCCTTTTCTCCACACCCTCGCCAGCACTTGTCATTTGTTGATTTATTGATGGTAGCCATTCTGGCAGCTGCGAAGTGGTATCTTATTTGTTTTTAATTTGTTTTCCTGGTGTTGAACTGTGTAAGTTCTTTATCTATTTCGGAGATTAACCTCTTATCAGATGTGTCATTGGTGAATATGTTCTCACACGCAGTGGGTTCTCTTTTCATTTTGATGCTGGTTTCTTTTGTTGTGCAGAAGCTTTTTAGTTTGATGTAGTCCCATTTGTTTATTTTTTCCTTTATTTCCCTTGCCCTAGGAGACATACTGGCAAAAATATGGCTCCAAGAGGTGTCTGAGATTTTACTGCCTATATTTTTTCCTAGTATTTTTATGGTTTTGCCTTTTATCCATTTTGAGTTTATCTTGTGTATGGAGTAAGTTGGCTGTCTAGTTTCTTT